AATAATCTGATATATAGAGATTAGAAATGCATGTGCAAACATCTTAATGTCAGTTGCATTAAAAATGAAGTTTTCTGCATGAAACTCTGTATTTTAATAAGGAAACGGGGATCTTTTTTCAAGGTTAAAAACCTCATTCAATTTTATGTCTTATAGGGTTTATACTGACTACAATATTGTATAACTAATAATTCAAATGTAAACCTAAAAATGTACAGCCAATTTTGTAAGAGATTCAGCCTAGCTCAGAAAATTGTTATTGAGTATGTCAGTGCTGATGTAATGAAATACTTCTTCTAAGTATGTGGTTATTAAATAAATAACTTTTTAAAAGAATGAAAAGGCAAAAGAGAAGTCAAAGACTTGTGCCTGTTGAATACAAACCAGAAAGCTGTACCTATCTCTTGGGCTCCAACACTTGTTACTTTCAGGATCAGGGCAGAGACAGTACTCTAGCTGAACTGCTTCTGTCATGAGCTCTCTGGCCAGGGAGTGTCAGTTCAGGACAACCTCAGACATGTTGTCAGCTGTTGTCTGACTGAAAGGGTGTTCTTGAGGCTAGAAGGTGAGCCGCATCTTGAGATGTGGGAAGAGGAGGCACATACATAAAATTTCATTCTATTTCAAAGCCTGTTTCATTTTTGTTAATGAAATTTTCCAGCTCTGCTTCTGTTCCCATCTTCCTCCATTTTCCTTGCCCTACTTGCTGAATCTAATGGATATTTTTCTCTTTCCCTTCTGCCTCTTTTAAGCCAGTTTCTGTTCCTGATTCAGAAACCCCCTTTTTTAATAGTCTATTACAGGGGTAGTAACTGCAACCTGTGGGCCAAGTCTAGCCCTCTACCTATTTTAGTAAATAAAAATAGCTACAGTTATCCATTTATGTATTTTCTATGGCTGCTTTCATAGTTTAAACAGACCTATGGCCTACACTGCCTCTTAGCCTAAGTTAACTACTCCTTGGCCTTTTATAGAAAAAAGAAGAAAGAAAACTCTTCTCAGCGGCACTCTCCTGGTTTTCTTGTTCCCTCTTTGGCTGTGCTCTGGAGGTGAAAGACTGTGTCCAAGTCAGGTCTAAGTCAGACTAGAAGAGGCCTGGTTAAACATCATCAGAAATACTAAGGGAACTCCATTCCATTCATTGTCAGCTCCTTCAAGAAATGGTACCTCATATTTCTTAATTCAGAAAATAAAGTCTCATAATAAATGTAATTATCACAGACAGGCACTTAACCCATAGAGTTCATAAACATTATTTAACTTCATGTTCATGACCAGCTTTAATTTGTTGACAAAAATGTTGAAGCACAGTCTGGGAAGGCTCACCCTTGATCACAGAGTGAAGAAATAGCAAAGGCCCCTGCCCCTTCCCACCATATCAGCTGCCTTCAGAGGCGGCAGTGCCAGATAATCAATGAAAGAAAAAGATTATGCACATAGTGTGTGAAGCTGGTTCAGTTTTCTAAAGGTTACCTAGCTTGAATACAAATCTACACTCCAAAGCTAGCAACCTGTCCCCACCAGAAACAAAAACACAAAACACATCACAGTAAACCAGGAGTGTGCAGCACAAGCATGCAGCCTCTCAGAGCTACTCCTAAATGCCCCGTTGCAGTCTTGATGAGCTGAGCTCTTTGGCTCTCCTAGTTACATTTGGTGCCATCATGGAGCTATGACGCTAGAGCACATAGGGTTAAACAAAATCAGGATGGGGTCTCCATAGATCCTGCTAATGCCATTGTCCTCTGTTAATGAGCCTTTGGCAATTGCAAACAGGACCATGCCAAAGTAGTAGAAAGAGCATGTGCGTAAAACTAAGGCTTTTCTCCTGTTTTCTCAAATTTCCCTAAATTTGGCTTTGAAGTACATTACAGTGTCTCTAGGCTCTACCTCTATTAGTGCTATGGAATGAGAAGCCTTTCAAGTCCATATCTGATTTTCTTGTTCCACTGATTTTTCATATTTGGGGAGAAGAAGCATCCAGCATTAGTGTTAGGGAAATGTAAAGATTCCCAGGTGTGTGTGTGTGTATTATGCATATGTGATGGTGGCAAGACACAGGAAGGACTTCAGGGGCCACAACAGATGGATGAAGTCAAGCAATGAATGCAGTGGGTGTTTCAGAAAAAATGCTTGGATTCACCAAATAGCAGATGTAGGAACAGACCAGCAAGGACTTCCTAAGTAACTGAAACCAGGGGCCATGACCAACCCATGAAGAACTGGGGGGGCAGGGGCAATCCTGAGTACAGCCCCAACAGGCAGCATCCCAGGACTAGGATTCCAGGACCTCTTCCTAGGAAGAAAGGGCCATTGTAGAACCATAAGCTACCCAAGAGTTCAAAGACCATACGAGGGTATACTTAGACATTTTGTCCCATAATAGTGCTTGTTTGATCCAGATATATGTACCTTAGTGTTATTAAAGTAGGGGATGTCATGACAGGATTGATCCCTCTGCAGATATTATACTCATCTTTCAGAGTCTTTTTTGGTCTAGAATTTTATTAAAATTCAAGTATGAAGGATGGCTTGGAAAAAATTATGACCTGCAAGAAGTGTAGTCGACAGAGACATACGTACTCACTTCTACAAGCTGGACTTCAGGGAGGAAAACAGTCCAAGTACAGGGAGGAGCAGGAACAGTGGCAGCTACATTGATTCCAGCTTGAGGCTGGGAATGTTTTTTTCTTGCCTGTATCTTTTCTTCATTCTCTTTCACCAGCTGTGTGTGCATGCTCCAAAATTCTTACAAATTGACACTGGTGAATATTTTGGCTATTCCATCGACTTCCTTTTTGTTATTTTTTACTGCGTTAAATAGTATATACATGAAATATAATCTCTTAAAATTTTAAGTGTGCAGTAAATTTCTTTGAGCTATAAACACAGTATCATAACAAATCTGTAGAAATTTCATCTTGTACAACCACCATTCTACTTTGTTTCTAAAGGTTTTCCACTCTAGATACCTAATATAAGTGGGATCATGTAGTGTTTATGTTTGTGTGTCTGCTTTTTCTCACTTAGCATAACATCTTCAGAGTTCATCCATGTTGTTCAGTATTACAGAATTTCCTTCAATTTCATGGCAGAGTAATATTTTATGGTATATATGTGCCACAATTTTTGACCCATTGCTGCTGTGATGGGCATTTAGGCTGTTTCTATTCTTTACTCATTGTGCACAATGAAAGTGGAAGATCTCATGGAGATGCCAGTGCAATCCTTTTGAATACATTCCCAGAATTGGGGTTGCTAGTCACCTGGTAGTTCTAATTTTCTGAGAACTCTGCATGCCATTTTCCCAGTGGGTGCACTATTTTACACTTTTGCTCCATGCTGAAGAGACTGCACACCTCTAGCTTTTGCTACTTCTTACCCTAATCTTTGCTGCCAAGCAATGAAAACTGCTGCTTACTCTTTCTTCAACATCCGACTCCTGTACAGTTCTTTTGATTTCTGGGATGTACTCAAACCTGATGCTTGACGTGTTCTTAAAAATTCTAAGGGGCTGGGGAGATGGCTCAGTGGTTCAATTCCCAGCACCCACATCGTGGCTAACAACTGTCTGCAACTACAGTTCTGGGGGATCTAATGCCCTCTCCTGACCTCTGCAGCATTGCGCAACACAGGTACACTTACATACATGCAGGCAATACACTCATACACATAAAATAAAAATAAAAAACAAAATAGAAAAAAATCCAAGTCAAGTCCAAATACCCTGACCAGATCTTTACCACCCAGCTAGTCTACTTTCCCTTCTACTGGAGTCTCTAGAACCTTTTTCTCTGTTGTTTTGGGACAGTTGGTAGAGTTGTAATATCCTTGTCCTAGATATTACATATGCATAAATTTTATGTTAACTGAACTGTCTCACTCAGTGTCCCCCAGAGAACTTTACAGAACACCTTTCACACTGTAAAGAGACGGAAATCACAAACAGAATGTGTGTGTGTGTGTGTGTGTGTGTGTGTGTGTGTGTGTGTGT